GGAAACAAAATAAATAAAAAAATTTACTTTGTTGTTTTTGTTGTCTCCTTCAAGTTTGGAAGATATTTCAAAACCAAGGTTTGCTTTTTTAACATTGTTAGATCCCGTGGTACGGATTCATAATTCATGAGTCTACTACATTGAATTTCCACTCATTTTTTCATATTATTTTGAATAAATTAATTTAACCCTTTTTCAGTACTTAAGAGTGGTTTTTTTTCTTAATTCATATTAACTAAAAGTATTTCTTATTGAAGTTTAAGTTAATCCATAACTAATTAGAAAATTTTATTCATTTATATTTATCACTTAGTGCGCAGTTATGCTTACTGTTTCCATTTGTCAGAATTATGTGTGAATGTTTTTTTTTTTTTGCCTGTTAACAATATTACTACAGTTTCTCAAAAAGAAAAAATTAAACAGAAAAAGTTGTAGATTTAGGATTGTGAGTTTTAATTTTAAGATGAACTGATGAAGTTATACCCACGTTACCTAAAATTGAAAACATTAATTGGACGAGAAAAAGCGTTTTTATTATTGTTTTAGTACTTTCCTTGGTTTCTTCAATAAGTTAGATTGTTAGATATTTCGAACAATTATTTTTTTAGTACTTTATACTTCTATCGTTAAAAACAAAGTAGTTTACTTCTCTATAAATTAATTTACTTCCATTAATTAGTTTCATTCTATCTTTAGTACATTACTTTACTTCTATGAATTGAATTGGTTAGATTATTGTAATTGATACAGAAAATGATATATCCTAATAAGTTTAAAAACTGATTTTGACTTGAAGTAGGTTGGTGTGAACATAATATGTAATTCGATTTTGATTAGACAGTGAGTGTAATAGTTGGAGGGATTCGTTAAAAGTATATAAATAAGAGGGTCAAAATGAAAATATGAAAAAAAGTTAAGGGGCAGTGATGAAACTAGACATAGAAATCACTGTCAATGTCAGTGGCTGTGTCAGGTTGTAACAATGTTGGTTAAGAGGAAACTCACCGTTTCTTTAATAATTTTGTTCGAAAGAAAATAAAACTACTCCACAATTTCAAAAGTGTTTTTGATTAATCTACAGTGTACTTGGGGTTAAGAAATGTAG